ATTATATAAATAATAATTAAAATTTTTAATTAAATAAAAATATTTAGCAAGAAAAACATGCACGATTCAAATATATATATAAGGACTTAGAGATATGTTCTATATATGTACTTGAACTTCAAGCACCCAAAAAAGAATAAATCTAGCAAAGAATGAACGCATTTTTACCAGTAAGGTCATGTGTTTACAGGAAAACTTTGATGTTTTCATTGTGTTTGTATATACTTTAAAGAGAACTAATTAAAAAAACCAAGATCGAAGATGATGCACCTTTAGGCTTTTGAAGAAAAAATTGAAGTTTGACGCAAATTAACCAAATTAACTAGGCCTAACAAATTACGAGGGGCGGCAGATTTGGATGGTTGCAAGCCTAATATTTTTTCACACATCAGAAGATCATTAGTTGTTTTGGAAAATGCTTAGCAGCAAAGTGATTCGGAAATGAAGACTCATTCTAGGTTTTATCAACACCTTGATTTTACCTTCTTAATTTCCAAGGAGTTCAGATCACCAAGATTTTCACAACCGTTCAACAAATATGCATACAAAATATCATTCCACGTATCATTTAGTCCCGGTAAGTAAGCACCAGTGAAAACAATCAATAAAATTTTCAAGATAAGATCTCTATTCCTTGTCAAGAGTTTGCCCTTCCATTCACCATAAACAGATATGAGCATCTTTCTAATTTTCTGACAATTTCAAAACTATGGTGGTTGATCTTTCGTTTTTGTAAGATGTTGCAAACTATCTCCATGATGGCAAGACCAGATCCAATTCCCCAGTATGATGCTTCTTGGATTGGATAGGTATTCACCGAAGCAGTCTCATTACCGCCTGGCCTCCATCCATCCCCTTTGATGTATGCTACAGTAGCAGCTGTGACATTCCAGAAAAAGCACTAAACCAATCCTGCATAAGGAAGAAATATACATTTACCATTCATAACATATATTAATATAGATACTGATGAGCATAACGTCATGTATAACATCATATATATAATTGAATGCATTTAGTCAATAAATATAATATACTGAAAATGATAAAGCTTGCATACCTAAGAATGATGAAAAGGTAATGTACATCAACTTTTCTAGATAAATCAGTATATCATTATGAACAACTGAGGCAAATGGTGGTCGATCTGCAAAACAAAAAATAAAAAATTCTAGACTGTCATGGCATGAATGAAAGGCTAATAGACCATCAAAGGCAACAGAAACAGACCACTACGTGGATATGATGAGTAATCAACAAAACATAACATCAAATGCAAGTTACCTCTTGCTAAAGCCTCTATTTTGCTTCACTTCCTGTGCCGTATGTTCCAAAGAAAACATGAGTGAAAATTGTAAAAGTCTACATGTGTCAATTCAATCTCCTTGATATACCTCCTACTGCTGATTAAATTCAACTTCCATGACCAATCCCCCTATCTTTGCTTTGCAATTCCCAAGATAATTTGAACATTCTAAATCAAAAAACCATAATCACCGCTCAATTTCATAGAACAAGAGGGAAGTAGCATGCATGGAGATGGACTAAGGTAAATACACTAACCTTAGTGGGTCTAGTAACTGTAGCAAGAGATATCATGAATTGCATCATCACAAACATAGTTGAGAGCAACTGGTTCAAGAGGAAGAGGTGAAGGCATTGAAGGGTTCTACAAATTCACAATCATTGATCAGTGGTCAGAATCATATCATTAAATATATATATATATATATATCTGATTTTTATTCTCAATAGAAAACACCTTTCACTATTTGTGCTTCTCTGCTATCAACTGAAGTTTCTTTCCATAACAATTTTTGGTAGGTTCATAGAAAGAAAATTTGATGGCATCTTCAAACTTGTCTTCGCCCCACAAATTGAAAACTATCCCCCTTTTCCCACTAACTTTACCATTAGAATCTCTCTTCACCATTAAAATTAACATCATCAACATTATCACCAACTTCTCCACCTTCAACCTCTTCATGAGCATAAATCCACGCATCTGCAACAAGTGAAATGAAAGAAGGAAGAAATATGCTAGTTAAGAGCATAAAATGTAGCTCCATAGAAAGAAAAGGTTTAACTATTGGAAGCACTCCAGTAATGTGTATGTAAGAAACAATTTAGGCATTGAAGCAACCAAAACCCAAGGAAACGAAGACCTTGAGCTTGAGCTAATTGACTCAACTATCAAAAGGTGCTTAATTTAAGTTAAACCTAGAAACCAATTTATAAAGAAAATGTATAGGTCACAAAAATGCAATAAAACCCAAAATTAAGAAAAAAATGAAGAAAGTGAAATGGAATAATAAAAGAAAAATGGTGTCTTATCCATAGATATTAACCAATCTTATTATCCACAATTCCGCTAAACTTACTTTTTGAAAATTTTGGCCTACTTAATACAATTACCATCAAATAACCAACCAATAAAACTTTAGGGAACAAGCAAAAGAAAAAATGAAGAGAATGAAATGCAGTAAACAAGTCAAAATATACTTACCAGGAATTCATGAGAGCTGAGCAATTACTTTAAAGCTATAATTTTCCACCATGCCCTGCCTCTTCTGTTTTGATGATTCCTAAACCGAACACTCTTTACCGTTCACTTCAAACCACAACAATTATTTCCTTCTTAGCAACCAAAAAAGTCTAAGATTGCAAATGTTATAAAGAAAATGAAATAAAATAAATATGGTTTTCTAGGTAGGGAAAAAACCTACAAAAGTGAAACAAGGCCGACGATGAAGGGCTGCCAGAGTGTGCTTCAATTCAATGCTCAAGTCAGCAAAGCAAAGGGAATTTGAAATCACAAAAATATATCAAACACAAAAGGAATTACAAAAATTACATTTCAAATTGATAAGAGTCACACTATATCAATCAAATAGAGTAAAAATCCCATAACACAACATGCTTGACAACTTAATTACAACACAAAACAAATTACCAAATGAAATCAGCACAAAACCAAATCCATCCAATAAATAAAAGACATATAAATTGAAACAAAAACAAGATTATTGTCAATCAAATCTGGCCCTAGCTGAGTCTCATTTTTCTTTTGCTTTGCTGCTCCACCAAGAGAAGTTGCCTTTGCTTGATAAGAGGCCCTACATGCAATATCTGAGCTTTAAAATATGCCAGAATTTGGAAACAAAAGACCAACAAATCAATCCTAAGAAAAACTATAGGAATTGAAAATATAATGAGTGATGCAGTTTGATTCCATAGTATCAAACTAGTTTGCAAGATGTTGAGAAATATTAGTATATCATAAATATACAAAAATATATATATATATAAAAAGAGAAAAAAAAAAAAAGAAATAGTAATGTTCCAACCCCGATTTTATTAGTTGATAATATTTTCCTAAATTTTTAGGATGCTTTGTTGAAACTATATTATTTGATGATCAAAAAGGCTCAATTTTCACCACACATAACCCAAAAACCAAGGAAGAGAGTCAAATAGCAAAATTACGAACTCGAAAACAGGAAAATTCTAAAGAAAAAACAATGTAGGAATAGTAAAATCACAACTTACATAGTTGGAGTTGATGAGACATGAGAGCAGAGGGTGGATGCATCTCAATCTCATCTCTTCCAAAATACCACCTCCAACATCGGCTCTCCCGTCATGTGTTGTATATGAAAGGCTTTTACTGTCACGTGTTATTGGGGTTGCACGTGACTTATTATTTACACACATCTACTGGTCTGGTTTTCTGAATAAAATTGAAGATTTCAAGAAATTTTGAAATCAAATTATGAGATGAGATAACAGAAATTTTGAGCAACTAAACTGTCAAATTCAAATTAGAATAAATCAATTATCACCTCATCATACTTATTGCAACAAAGGGTTGGAGTATGTTCTTAGCGTGAGGATGATCCCACTCTTGTTACAACAAAGGGTTGAAGTATGTTCTTAGCGTTAGGATGATCCCACTCCACTGATTCCCACCATTCTTTGTCCTTTTCCTTAATGTAGATTTCTTTAAGATGAGGAGGAGGAGATGGTTGGCCATTATCAAGCAGGGGAAGCTGCACAGGGATCCTCTTTAACTCAGGACATTCACTTATCCAAATGTATTTAATAGAATCGCAAACCATAACTCCTTTGGCACTGCAGATGTTCTTCAATTGGGGTAACCCCCGCAAGTGCAATTTCCTTAATTTAGGAAAAGTGATGCTGAACTTATCCGATGATGCATCTGAATCTGATGAGGCTATTATCTCTTCCATTTGTTCACAACCATCAACTTCAATCATCTCTAAGTTTTGGAAGGCCTGCAGTAGCTCAAGTGGAAGCAACTTCCTCATTCTTGAACATTTCCTTAAATAAAGTGTCTTAAGATTGGAAAACACACATGACGGTGTTGCTACTCCTTCCACTCTCACGAGTGCCCACAACCTAGGCAAATCCCAAAGACACAATTTTTCAAGCTTATCAAGCACTGGTTTACACGATGAGGATGAGGATGAATCCAACTCAACCACGTACTCTGTCTCTTCACAATCACTAATAATACAAGCACCCAACTCGGTTGCATTCTCTAACAAAACTGCATTGTTTAAGCTGCTTCTGAGGTTTTTACATTTATGGATCCGCAAATGCCTAAGTTTATCTGGAAGCACTATACATTCTTCTCTAATGTCACACTAATTATAAGTATACATTTATGATTAGAACTAAGATAATCCATACCAAGGTCCATTTTTGTTCCCACTCGAAGCTTGTAAACAATAAAACTCTGAAAATTTTTAAACTCCCTCATAAGATAATTGAAGTCTTGCATGTCTTCAACATTACATTGTATAATCTCCAACTTTCTCAATTTAGCAACCTCTTCTGAGTTTATCATTACAATAGGCCCCCCTTGGTTTGTTCCCCTTTCGTTTGTTACCACCAAATACTGGAGACTAGATAATGTAGACAATATTCCTGTTGAAAACTCTTTCAAATTCATACACCATAAATCAAGATATTCAAGACCTACTAACATCTCCATGCCTTGAGGGACCACCTCAATTCCTGTCCCTTGCAGATCTAACTTCTTCAATGCCACAAGCTTCTCTAAGGAAGGCAAGTACTTTAACTTTCTGCACCCCAATAACCGCAATGCAGAGAGATACTTCAACTTAGAGATGGAACTAGGTAAAGTTTCAACAAGAGTTAGAGAAAGATCAAGAACCTTGAGTTGACTCATATCCTCAAAAAAGGATTCTGGAATCTCTGTCAAAGGATTGTTGGATAATATCAAAGTTGACAAGGTCGGACACTTTGGAGTCAATCCAATCGAAATTTTTGAAATGTCATTTGCCATTAGAGATACCTTATTAAGATCTCTAGCCCACTCATGTTCATTTGGTACACTTGTCAATTTCCTACCAGTTTTTACCATATATCCAACTCTGGGACCAATGCTTCTGATAGCCATGTCTCTCACAACATCATGCATCTTAAGATACTTCTCGAAATGTTTCTCTAACAAGCTATTCTTTTCAAGCACATGTAAAAAGGCATGGCCCCTGTCATAAGCTGCTTGCCTGCTACTCAATCCATCCATTAATCCTTCATCAATCCAACCTTCTAGCAATTCCTCCCCTCGAAATAAATAATCTTCGCGAAACAAGGAGCAATAAAGAAAACAATTTCTAATTTTCTCATTAGGCAAACGATCAAAACTAAATTTTAACCGCAAAAATATCTCATCCTCCGAACCTTTCACACTCTTAACACATTCTTGTAATTCAGTCAGTGCATTTCTCCACACCTTAATATCATCCACTCCTTTCATACTCCCTGCTATCACAACAATAGCAAGTGGTAAACCAGCACACTCCTTCACAATAGTCTGCAAGATTTTTTCCAACCCAGAAATTAGTAAAACATCATGCCCAACCTTATTGAGGAACAGAGTTAGAGACTCCTCTTGTGAAAGAGGTTGCACTTTAACAATCTTACAATCTAAATAACTGCATACTTCTGTCAATCTACTAGTAATAATTACTTTGCACCCATTTTGCACTGTCGGTTTTGGAATTCCAACATCACTGAGAGAGAACCTTTCCCATACATCATCTAATATTAGCACAAAAGTCACTCTTCTCATTATTTCCATTAGTGCGCCTGCTCGCATCATCACCTCTTCATCATCTCGAAGTCTTTCACCCATAGCACCAGCAACCTTCCTTTGTAACTCAAAAACATTGAGAGGATATGATACAGTAACCCATATCACTTTTTGAAATCTAGTCTCCCCCTGTAAATCATTGTGGAGATTCTTCATGATCATAGTCTTTCCAACTCCACCAGTCCCACAAACTCCGATCAATCCAACCTCATCACCCATCAAGTACCTCCAAATTTCTTCTTTAGTAGATATTTCCCCCACTAAATTCTCTAATGGAATTATGTTTCCATGAGCTGGAGCTCTCTCAATAAAAAGGCCTTCAGGAAATCTACCTTTTTCAATCATATCCGCCACCACTTTAATTTTTCTGCAAACACGTTTGTCAAGACAGGCACGCTTGTACCACTTGACTCCCTGTACCTTTTCTAAAAATGCTCGCACACCAACATTGATCTCTTGTGCTTGCTTAGGCCAATCTTGCACTTCTCGTCTAACCATTTGTCCCGCGCGAGCCTCTGCTTCTTCTATTCTTGATTCTATATCTTGCTTTCGGTTGGTTAGAGTGTCCAATATGCTTCTCAGCTCACCCACATCATCATTAAAATTTCGATATTGATCTATACAATTGCAGGTTGGAGTACCACAAATGCAACTCAATGCACCGAAGATTGCCCCTACTATGTCCGCCATTAAAAATGGTCCTGAAACATAATAAATAATGTGAATAAAAATATACTTCTAGTGTTCGTCAACAGAAAATTCGAAAGCATAAATAAACAATTAAAAAAAAATTAAATTAAATTATTAATTCCTTCTAATCAAGGTAAATTACCAATTCCAACCATACATTACCATAAGAAATATGCTAATGGCTTAAGTAATGAACAAGGTTCAAAACTCTCACTAAACTCATAATTATCTCATGGTTCTATTTTGCTCAAATAAAGCACTAAAGTAACTAAAATTTTCAAATAAAATCACAATTAGACAAAAACTATTAGATCTAACATTATTAACTCTAAGTAGTTATCAAATAAGGTCCCATACTTCACTAAATTTACAATTGAGATAAATGAGGACCAAATTGGACGAAAATTATTATTTGTTAAATTGGTCATTAATGTCGTTAACTATTCTAATTGGTTAAATATCTGAAAGGCATTATTTCTAGCCTTTCTATTTTATCTCGTAATAATCTTAAAGGTTTCAATTACCTTGAAATGCTTCCTAAGCTCATTTGTTATGATGATGTGACAATTTTGTAAAACCTATAACTAAAAATTAATTTTTTATTTTAATTACATGACATTTATGTGCCCTACTATAAAAAGTTGCATTATTATTTTTTATAATGGTACCGAACAAATTATATCAATTCGTTGAATTGTAGCCATAAAAAAATGGTTAAATCAAAAAGGGAACAAAGGAAAGGTGGCATCATATACGTTCAAAATTAGGTTTCATTAGAGAAAAAAGAGAGATTAAGTTATTTAGGTATGTTAAGTATAGTTGTGGTTTTTAGTTTCGATTTTTGAAATTTAAACAATCAAAATTGAAAATGTGTGCAATATATAAAAATCAATTAAATCAATTATATTTATATTATATTTTAAT